TCTCTCTCTCTCTCTCTCACACACACACACACACACACACACACACACAGCTAAACAATCTAAGTTTACTAAAGAACATTTCATAGAGCACGGTATATATAGAAGATTAAGATCATCGGCTGAAGTGTCTGTGTCCATATTCTAACTGTAAAGACTATTTGTTTTAAAAATATGTATTTCCCTCTAGCATAGAATATATTCTCTAAATAACGCCTAACGTAATATTTATGAGAAGCATATATGGCTTATTGCTGTTTGACAAATATGCTACACATTTCTACAAATCCTTAGCATTTGAAACTACAGACATCACATGAAAAGCTTACAAAAGTTTAAACTGTATTGAAAAAGGACACTGGTTATTCTAAGAAAGGAAAGGAGTAAAAAAAAAAAAAGAAAAAGGACTAAAAAAGGCATTTAAACAAAGACTCCACTGAATTGAGTGAATGATCTCCCATCTAACACATACGTCAACGATCCTAGACTCTTGTCTCTAGAGTTCTTTCCTACCCCCACTGCTATCTCCACTCTACACATAGATGTTTCAACCATCTCTTTCCCATTATGTCTGGCTTCTGCTGAAAAACCTTCAGCGATTCTCCACAGGATAAAGTCCTCATTCCCAACCGTGCTTTTATGGTCCTCCATAATCTGAAACTGACCTTCCTGTTCATCCCATTCTACCCCCTGAAATGAAATATCCATTCCAGCCAAACTGGTCTCCTCATCGTCCTCAAACATTGTGGTGTTCTTATTTCTTCTGAGCCATTCAATTTGACATGGATCTATTCCTTACTTAAAACACGAATGAATTCCCAAACTTCCCGCAAACCTTCTCCATTAAAACCTACAACCAACTCTTGTTCATGGCAAAGTAAGAATTCTCACTTGTCACTGAACTGTTAACCTTGTAACACTCGTGTCTGTGTATCCTCTGTATCTTCAAGAATTCAACACAATGCAGAGGTATGTTCCCTAGATTGAACTTTATTCAACTTGACAACAATAAACTCAAAGATAAGTGCCTCTACCTTATCACCTCTTTTAAATCTCAATACCAATATTAAACAAATTATAGATGCTAAGTATTTTCTGACTGAACTTGGCAGTGAGTCTTCAGGTCCTACAGAACTGCCTCCAACTTTTAAGTATTTATGGAAGATTCAAAGCATCAAGACATCAAAATTGCATAAGTCCAACTAGTATTTAGCTCATGCAGGAGGCATCTTACAGGGCAATTAAAAATATGTCTATACTCAAACACAATTCTGAAAATACACAAAATGCCAGTTTTGCAAAACAATGTAAAGCACCTGAAAATGTTAGCAGTCTGTCCCAGCTGAGTGTTATTCTTGCCGCAGCTCCTCCCTCCACCTCATGTCCTTCCTGGATTTGACTTTCAGATGTAACAAAAAGGCTCAACGTTAGGCAAACCACTGACCTAGACTGCAATTTCAAATGACCTAATCAAGCTATTGCCAAGCACTACAGAATCTTACTAATGCCTTAGAAGTAGGACAAGAGAAAATGGACACAAAAGAAATAAGTGACCTGCCCAATTGTCATGTAGCCAGGCCTTAACAGTGAAGGCAAATTAAACTCAAACGTCTTAACTTAAATACAGCGCTCTTAATCTTTGATAGGAACTAGACGTAAACTTTATGGAGCAAGCTGAACAAAGTCAGTGTCTTTGTAACTTATCAAAAGCATGTAAACTAAAGCTGTGTTATTGTCGTCTTCTGGGGAGAAGTTTAATTAAACATAATAAAAAAAAAAGACACTTTCTGGTTGCTCTTTTAAGCATGATTATAAATTATATTTCTTATGGTAAAGGACAAGAATCAAAAGGAATAAGATACCAATTTATAAATTCAAGATAGTCTACATTTTGGAGAGGAAGGCTGACAGCTGACCCCCCAGATGCTCTAGCTGCTGCTGGAACACCAGGCATGTGTCCTGTTTGGCAGAAGAGCTAATATTCAGTCACGTAAATAGCTTTCTACCAGTGGCCAAACTGGCTTTGCCATCTGTCTCACTCCACACCAAAGCCTCTCTCCTCAGCTACCTAGCTCCAGAGGGAGCTGCTATGGCCAGTAAGAGAGGATAACCCCCCACTCCCCAGCCAGTGATACTGGTTAACACCAAGCTACAGAAGGAAAGAGTCCTCTCCTTCAAGATCACTACACACATACCCACATGCCTTGCTCTTCTCACATCTTCCTTTCCATTCTCACTCCTACATATTTACAGCCCATCCCTGCTTCCCACCCAACACATACCCAATGCCAACGCACTGGAGAGATACTGACAAAATAAGCCCAGTAGTCGCATGTCCCAAACAATAATTCCTAATCCTCTTTTTTTGTAACACCAAAGAGGTCTTAGAGCCAAAAGGAATCTTGGACATCATCCAGAGAAGGTGAGTGACATGCTTCCAAAATTACAAGATGGCTCACTAAATTCTTCTCATCAAAACTTATTTCAACTCATCCACTAAGTGAATATTTACTGTTCCAGGCACTGTGCTGGGTACTTGGGACAGTTTGTCCAGAGAGTTTAATGTTTCTTAATGCAAAGTGCAGGGGGTGGGGGGTGGGGGTGACCTAGAGTATTTTTTCCAGAGGTGATGTCTACAAACAAGTGTACAAGGACAAACTCACAAAGCTAGGAATTACTGAACTGATAAACTAGGGAAAAGATAAAGACGCTAACAACACACACTTGGGAAGCTGGATACTGTCCCATCCCCTGTCTGCTGTATGGGGAGGTTTTTTTTAAGAGGGAACATGGGGCACTACAGGCATCTTCAAAATAGGCTATGGGTTACAGGTGTGGTCACAGCTTCTCAGTGGAGCTAATGCTTCCCCATTAACACCAACTCAAGTGTTCCGGAGCGAATTTTGTCCACCTCCCTCCTAGATTCTACTCAGATACCTACCTACCTACCCACCCACCTAG